TTTATTAGAGACAGGGTTTCATCATGTTAGTCAGGCTGGTCTTGGACTCTTGACCTTGTGATCCTCCTGCCTCAGCCTCCCAAAGTGCTGGGATTACAGGTGTGAGCCACTTGCCCTGCTTACAACCCCGTTTTAATTATTGCTCTGCTTATCTGTTGCTTTCATTAGACTCTGGGCTTCTTGGGTGGGCCTGTGTCCTCAGCAGTTCCGTCTTGCAAAGGGAAGTTCACACAGGTTAAATGACTTCCCTAGAGGCCCATTCTCTTGGCCCAGAAGAGGCAGATAAATATTTGTTGGTTAAATGAAAAATGTGAGTGAATTGTGCAAAGATGGGAGCCAGCACTACGTCTTCTCCTAGGCGCAGTACCACCTGATGCTGCACATCCAGATGCAGCTGTGCGAGCTCTCGCTGTGGGATTGGATAACCGAGAGAAACCAGCGGGGCCGGGAGTGTGTGGACGAGTCTGCCTGTGAGTACCATCTGGGTCTGCACGTGCTGGGCCGGGAAATAGACCAAGTCACCTCCCCCCCATCTCATGTAGGAGTTGCCTCCAGTGCTTTATTTTCATTTGTATTTTTTATTCGCTTTATTTTTTTGAGACAGCCTCCCTCTGTCACTCAGGCAGGAGTGCACTCACTGCTTAGTGTAGCCTTGGCCTCTCCGGCTCAAGTGATCCTCCAACCTCAACCTCCTGAGTAGCTGGGACTACAGGTGCATGTCACCATGTCTGGCTGATTAAAAACAAAAAAAATGTAGAGATGAGGTTTCATTATCCTGCCCAGGCTGGTCTCCAACTCCTGATCTCAAGCAATCCTCCTGTCCTCACCTCCCAAAGTCCTAAGATTTTAGGCATGAACCTATGGGTCTGGCCAGACTTTTTCCTTTTTCTTTCTTTTTTTTTTTTGAGACAGAGTGTCACTCTTGTTGCCCAGGCTGGAGTGCAATGGTGTGAACTCGGCTCACCACAACCTCTGCCTCCAGGATTCAAGTGATTCTCCTGCCTCAGCCTCCTGAGTAGCTGGGATTACAGGCATGTACCACCACACTCAGCTAATTTTTTGTATTTTTAGTAGAGACAGGGTTTCTCCATGTTGGGCAGGCTGCTCTTGAACTCCTGACCTCAGGTGACCCGCCGCCTTTGCCTCCCAAAGTGCTGGGATTACAGGCGTCAGCCATCGTGCCTGGCCTCCAGACTTTTTTCTTTATCAATTTTTGTGTTAGTCCTATAAAACCTCTGCATCCTCTAAATTCACTTATGTCATCATATATATATATATTTTTTTTATATCATCATATTAAGAGATGAATTAATATATGTACATTTTTTGGGGCAATATGCTATGTCATTTTTGAAAAGTGAGGCTTTCCAGATGATTGAATCTTGCTCCTGGAGCTAACTTATTTTATCTTTTTCTTATTCCATTATTTGTAATAATGTCTTTAATCTGCTGTGGGGTAGGATACCAGATTTATTACTATTAAACCCCAAAATGTCAGGGGTTGAAGGGAACTTAAACTATTAAATCTAGTTGTCTGATACCTGAGAATTATTTAAAAAGTTATTATAATACAAGGAGGGCTCTGAGTGAAGTTAGAGGTACTTTCTTTCTAGTTGACAAAGTCCATCAACTGTTGAGTGCTGGTTTGTGATGGTTTCTTTGCTAGCTGAGGAGGCCTTCTTGCTTATTTCTAGGTTTGAGACCATTCTGCAGCATTGACTTTGTTGAAAATCTGAATGTTCTTAAGTGTCAGATGTTAATGTATTTAGAACGACATTAATATTTAGATGCTAATGTAATGAGTAAAAAAATAAGAGAAATAAAACTTTTTTTTTTTTTTTTTACTTCAAGGTCCTTATGTTATGGCCAATGTTGCAACAAAAATTTTTCAAGAATTGGTAGAAGGTGTGTTTTACATACATAACATGGGAATTGTGCACAGAGATCTGAAGGTAAGTGGGGATGATGAAATCATGGAAAGCAGTGGTAGCTGACCATGCGAGGTGGTTTAGGCCTGTAATCCCAGGATTTTGGGAGGCTGAAGTGGGTGGATCATCTGAGGTCGGGAGATCAAGACTAGTCTGACCAACATGGAGAAACCCTGTCTCTACTAAAAATACAAAAACAGCCAGGCGTGGTAGAGCATGCCTGTAATCCCAGCTACTCAGGAGGCTGAGGAAGGAGAAGCGCTTGAACCTGGGTGGCGGAGGCTGCGGTGAGCTGAGATCGCACGACTGCACTCCAGCCTGGGCAACAAAAGTGAGACTCTATCTCAAAAAATAAAAAAATAAAAATAAATAAAATAAATAAGCAGTGGTAGCTTTGTAACAGGGAAGACTTGATGTTGGTTCACTGAATTAAATAAGATGACATGTCCTACGTCATTTACTTAGGAGATTATAATTCCTGTTAGATAAATCATTGTTCCGTAGATTCAGAGTCTAAAAACATTAGGTTGAATTTTTTGTTTGTTTGTTTGAGATAAGGTCTCACTCTGTCGCCCATGCTGGAGTGCAGTGGCACGATCACAGCTCACTACAGCCTCGAACTCCCAAGCTCAAGAGATCCTCCTACCTCAGCCTCCCTAGTAGCTGAGACTACAGGCATGTGCTACCATGCCCAGCTAATTTTTAATTTTTTTTTGTAAAGATGGAGTTTGGCTATGTTGCCCAGGCTGGTCTTGAGTTCCTGGTCTCAAGTGATCCTCCCATCCCAACCTCCCAAAGTGCTGGGGTTACAGGTGTGAGCCACTGCACTTGAATTTAAAGCAGTAAGTTGAATTTAAAGCAGTAATTTTTGAACATTTGAAAATCCTCTGTTGAGTACTTTTTTTCAGGTACTAAGTGTGCTCTGAGTACTCATAATCAGTGGTGCTAAAGGTACTTAGTGTTAGCAGAAATGCTCATTTGTTTTTTCAGTCTTAGAGACAAACTCTATTTCTGTAATTGTTCATGTTAAAGCTTAACAAAATGAGATTTTTGTTTTTGCTGTTTAAAAAAAAGTATATAATGACTATTTGATTTTTATCTACAAAAGACTATCAAGAAAGAGAGAAAATATATTTGTTTCTTTGGCTGAAGAGGTTTAAATTAATTTGCTTACTGTCCAGCCAGAAGTTAAGTCATGGGCATGAAAAAAAAAACTTAGGAACTCCTTTGACACAGGTTAGAGGGGAAAAAAAAACCACCTAGGAACAAAAATGTTAATAGGCAAATCACTTTATGTTTTGGAAAATGTTTAGGAACCAGTAGTGTGTACATTTGGGATGTAAAGGGTGATAGGTTAAGCATTTTCTGGTACATGTCTAGCCAGAAAATGCAGTTTGAGTGACTGAGATTCCCTGCTGCTGTGAAATTGGAGGTCTGATTTTGAGAGGTACACTGAGTCGTACCAAGAGTAGACAGAATTCCATATCTTCACTGGGAGAAGTTGCTTCAAGTGTTGTTTGTATTTCTCACCATAAATATTCCGGATGTTTCTTTTGCAGATATCCTGTAGGAATAAAGGTTTTTGCGATTGCTTTATTAGGGTGTCCCTTAAGAGGCGAAATTCTGGTAGCATGATTCCTGCAGGTAGAATTCCTTGGTTATTGGTCATTCTCAGAGGATAAGTGCGATTAAGAAGCCTGGACAGAAGTGCTGTGTGTCTTATATTGAAACTGCGCTGAAGGTACATGTAAATTGGAGATTCCCCGTTTTTTGTTAAAATATTAATATTTGCTTCAAATTCAAGCAAAAGATCAATTATTGGCTCTCTGCCTCCAAAGCATGCCTCATGGATGGCTGTTTGGCCTTTGTAGTCCTGGGCGTTGACTTTGGCTCCATGAGTGAGTAGCAGACGGATGCAGCTGATCCCCGCCCCGAGTAGTCGGCCTGCTTTGCTTGACGCAGTGCGCACTGCCAGCTTCAGGGCCGTGTTCCCCGTGGAAGAGACAGCACAATTGACGTTTGCTCCATAGGCAATGAGTGTTTCCATCATCTCCTTATTCAGCATGTCTGCGGCCATGTGAAGGGGTGTCATGCTGACTTCATTAATAGCATTGACATCGGCACCATTTTGGGCCAAAATGGAGAGAACTTGATCATAACCATATGTGATGGCCAAGTGGAGTGGTGATTGATTGTTGCTGATTTCCACCCGAGCGTTAACTTGAGCTCCATGCTCACACAAGGTGCGGAGACACGTGATGGCGTTATTCTGAATGTCTGTCAGGAACCTTTGGATTCTGTTGCCTGGTTTTGCCCACGAGGTGGAAGTGACCGGCCAGTGCAGTAGCAGTAAGTTGAGTGTGGTGAGGCCCCTGTTGTCCCTAGAATGGGTATTGATTACACGTTACACTGAATTCATGGTGGGAATGGCTCTATGTGAACAGTTAATGCTTAAGAAGCCAGTATTTAAAGTAATACCCTTTAATTACCTTAAGGATGCATTTCAAAATCTGTATTGCTGGGTAGTTTCTCAGGCTATCCCAGGGTTTTTGGGGGGATGTGGTGGGATGCATCACTATATGATGGGGCCTAACTTCTGTTTTTTATATATATATAATTTTTTTTTTTTTTTGAAAAATTCTTTTCACTTTTTGACAATGACATGAAGGAGGCCCAGCTTCTTGAAGCAGCCTATTTTAACTGTGCTGCAGTCCCTTCAAAGCTATATCTTAGTGATTTCTGTATCCCAGCACCTGACACAGTGCTGGTCTGGGTTGGTAAGCTTCCCGTGACATTGTGTGGACTTGAGTGGGATCTGTTATTGCCATAGAAGTGAGCCGTAAAGGCCCGAACTCCTGTTGACTCCATTCTTACTGGTTCTGTTTCTGCTCTCCTACCCAACATTTTTATGCATGAGTGTATAGGGAGTAGAAGAGGTGATGAGGGTTGAATCTGAAGACCTGTGGATTCTGAAGTTGATTCCTTGCTCCAAGCCAGGTGGAATGAGCATTTTACAACTTGGCTCTCATCTCAGAAGTGCTTCCAAAAATTCCTCTTTTTTTTTTTTTTTGAGACAGAGTCTCGCTTTGTCATCCAGGCTGGAGTGCAGTGGCACAATCTCTGCTCACTGCAACCTCCACCTACCAGGTTCAAGCAATTCTGTCTCAGCCTCCCGAGTAGCTGGGACTACAGGTGCCTACCACCATGCCTGGCTAATTTTTGTATTTTTAGTAGAGACAGGTTTTCACCATATTGGTCAGGCTGGTCTTGACTGCTGACCTCAGATGATCTGCCCACCTCAGCCTCCCAAAGTGCTGGGATTCAGGCGTGAGCAACCGAGCCTGGCCCCAAGAATTCCTTTGTTTTGGCAGAGAAAAGGGAAGGTTTATTATGTAACTCTAACTGCTCCACTGAAATTAGAAAGTGATTTTAGTGCACGTATATTTGTTTAGCCTGAGGCCCTAGGCTGGGAATGTGGTGAAACAGCATGTGGCCCCTACCTCTGTGGGGCTTACAGTCTAGTAGGGAAGATAGACAAGAAACAATAGAACAACTCAGTAAATACTGGAAGCAGGCTGAATTCTAGAGAGGTGTGGGAGCTTCACACGGCACATGTGGTATGCAGGGTAGGAAGGGGTCCCCTGAAGAGAACAGGGTGTCTGTGATGGTCCAGATGTGGAAGGGACTTCAAGAGGACTTACAGAGCTAGGTGGGGTGCTCAGGGACAAGCTGAGAGCAAGACAGGTCAGGTGGGTTCTTCTGGAGCAAGGTAAGGATATCGGGCAAGAAGTTCTATTATTATTATTATTATTTTTGAGATGGAGTCTCACTCTGTTGCCCAGGCTAGAGTGCAATGGCACAGTCTTGGCTCACTGCAACCTTTGACTCCAGGTTCAAGCGATTCTCCTTCCTCAGCCTCCTGAGTAGCTGGGATTATAGGCACACACCACCACGCCTGGTTAATGTTTTGTATTTTTAGTAGAGCTGGGGTTTCACCATGTTGGTCAGGTTGGTCTCGAACTCCTGACCTTGTGATCTGCCTGCCTCAGCCTCCCAAAGTGCTGGGATTACGGGCATGGTACCATACCCAGCCTATTCCCAGTTTTTCAGAGTATCTCATCTACTCAGTAAAGACATTGGTTCATTCATAACATGATAATGTGTAGTCTATCACCTTGAAGAACGAACAAGACCAGACATAAATGGAAAAAAATGTATGAACTGAAAAAATCTATATCATGTATATCCTCACTTAGAAATGATTGCTGGTGAGGCCAGGTGCTGTGGCTCAAGCCTTTAATCCCAGCACTTCGGGAGGCTGAGGCGAGTGGATCACTTGAGGCCAGGAGTTTGAGACCAGCCTGGCCAGCATGGTGAAACCCTGTCTCTAGTAGAAATACAAAAGTTAGCCGGGTGTGGTGGTGCACACCTGGAATCCTAGCTACTTCGGAGGCGGAGGTGGGAGAATCTCTTGAACCCGGGAAGTGGAGGTTACAGTGAGCTGAAATTGTGCCACTGCATTCCAGTGACAGAGTAAGACCCTGCCTTGAAAAAAAAAGAGAGAGAGAAAGAAGGAAGGAAAGGAAAGAAGGTAAAAAAGAAAGGAAGGAAAGGAAGAAAGGAAAGAAAGAAAGAAATGACTGCCGGTGCCCGTGGAGTTAACTTACCTGACTTCCGGGTCAGCGCCATGCCGTAGGAGGCAGCGCAAACTCCGGGCCTTGTGGTGCTCGGCAGCCAGATGGATGGGGATGATAGACTCTGCATGCTTCGGAGAGAAAACAAAACACGTTACAAGTGGCCCTTGTAGTTAAAAATAATACTTGTGTCAGCTTGCCATATTTGTGTTAGCTTGCCATTTCAAAGGCAATACATTTATTTAGTGTCTTACTGGCTCACTATTTTTCTGGTATGTGCATTGAAAATTTCCTTTTCTACTGCCTGTTTTAAATGGTCAAAACTCAGTTAATTCCATGTTATAAAATCTGTATTTTACAGAAATGCACATTTACTGAGGCACCAGAAATAATACTCAAAAGCTTTGGAAGTTTTTAAAAGTTGATTCTTCTGAAGAGCCTGTGGTGTGATATTAATGGCACTTGCTATGAAGTCACTTAGTCCTTAAAGTAACCCACAGGGTGGTGGAGAAGTAGGTGCGGCGTTGTATTGTCAGCTGTAAAACCTGAATCTCCAGAGTTTTCAAATATAACGCAGCATATGTTCTGTCTATGATTAGCAGAGCTGTTTGTGCCAGCACTTAAAATACACATATAAGTAGTGGTTTTACACCGTTGCTGCAAGATAAGACAGTAAGGTACAAGAGAGGGTGATTTCCTTTTTGAAAAAATATTTTAATTGTAAAGGTAATAATCATTGTATAAAAATTTAGAAAATGAAAATGTATATATTAAAAAGGGAAAAACTAATTTTTGTTTGTTTGTTTTTGAGACGGAGTCTCGCTCTGTCATCCAGCTGGAGTACAGTGGTGCGATCTCGGCTGACTGCAACCTCTGCCTCCTGGGTTCAAGTGATTCTCCTGCCTCAGCCTCCCAAATAGCTGGGATTATAGGCTCCGGTCACCATGCCCAGCTAACTTGTGTATTTTTAGTAGAGATGGGATTTCGCCATGTTGGCCAGGCTGGTTTCGAACTCCTGACCTCAGGTGATCCGCCCACCTCGGCCTCCCAAAATGCTGGGATTACAGACGTGAGCCACCATGCCCGGCCACAAAAGGAAAAACGAATTTGACCACATGGAGGTTATCACTGTGGGTATGTTTGAGAGATGACATGAATGGTCTTCCAGCCACACAAGATCTGGTGTGTTCTCCTGTTGTTTTGTGTGTGACATGTATAGGGGAGGCTTAGCAGGCTTTGGGGAGCATTGCTGTGTTGTGGAGTGAGCTGGAGTCATGCCTCGTAAGGGCTGTGAGCTTAGTGGATTCACCAGCATTAGATCATGCTCCTTTCTAAGCAGGCTGACTTTTTCCCAGAAGTGACTGGGCAAAAAAGAGGGTACCTGGCTCAGAAATAATCTGTTGCTGGTGGAGTCGGGCAGAATGGTGATGGGCTGGTTGACGGGGTGATTTCTCAACAGTGCCTCAATGGTAGTGCAGTCTTCGCCCATAATGGCTTCATAGATTTTCAAGTGAAGGGCTACGGATGAGCCATCTTCCAGGGACTTGGGACTGTCAACCACCAGGTCTCTGCTGCTTTTCCTGGTTATATTCCCCATGGGAAAAACTTAAGACTTAGGGGAAAATGTTGTTATGGAATTGGTCAGTTTCAGCCTCTTTATGATGATTCTTTCAGTTCAGTTCTAGAACTATTCTAGAATTTATTGAGAATTGTATCTGTGAACATAGTCCATCAAAATTTGTAACCAATGTCCAGATTTTGTTCCTTGATCATATATAATGTCAAATGTTAGCAGTTTTTAGGGTTTTCTACTCAATCGTAAAAACATATCCAAGCTATCATCTTACATCTTTATTCCTGATTTATCTCCAATTCAAGCATATTTCAAACATTGATCAAAGCTAAAACAGGGGAATTTCTACATTAAAATAAAAAGCTAAAATTATTATGTTTAAAGTAAGAAAACTTTTAACCTAAGTTATTTTTTTGTTTTTTACTATAATAGAATCTTCTCTTTCCCCATTACAGGTTCAGTTTTTCACTGGCATAGGAATAGTTTGGGAGATGTTTTGGGTCTGCACTTGTTGCTTAAATAAAGCCATTTAGTGTGATCTATTAGTTCCCAACCCTGGCTAATATATGTGAGTTATCTGGGAGCTTCTAAAAAATATCAAAAAGTTTTTTCATAGTGTGAGAAACATGCTCATCCATCCAAACCCAAAGAATGGGCTTAGGGGCACAAAGAACAGTGAAAGTGAGACTTTAATAGCAGTCTCGCAAGATCAGGTGTCTAGTAGGCAGGTACAAAAAGGGCAGTTACAACAGGTAATTTATCTTCTTGCATGCAAGTCCCTCCTCTAGTTCCTCACTGGTCGGTACTATGGGGTTAAAATCTTCCCTGAAGTTGCCTAAGGTTTTTTTTCTTTTTAAGATGGAGTCTTGCTCTGTCACCAGGCTGGAGTGCAGTGGTGCGATCTCGGTCCACTGCAACCTCTGCCTCCCGGATTCAAGTGATTGTCCTGCCTCAGCCTCCCTAGTAGCTGGGGTTACAGGCATGTGCCACTATACCCACCTAATTTTATATATATATATATATATATATTTTTTTTTTTTTTTTTTGAGACAGACTCTGACCCTGTCACCCAGGCTGGAGTGCAGTGGCGCGATCTCGGTCCACTGCAACCTCTGCCTCCCGGATTCAAGTGATTGTCCTGCCTCAGCTCCTGAGTAGCTGGGATTACAGGCACACATCACCATGGCAGGCTAATTTTTGTATTTTTAGTAGAGACGAGGTTTTACCATATTGGCCAGGCTGGTCTTGAACTCCCAACCTCAGGTGATGCACCCTCCTTGGCCTCCCAAAGTGCTGGGATTACAGGCATGAGCCACTGCACCTGACCAAGCCTATGTTTTTTTATGAAACATAAAACTTTGAACACTTTCACTTGAATCTAGAAAACTTCAGTTTGGGGGACTTTTAATCAGAATAGTTTCATTTCTCTGCATTTTATTTAGAAAATTTTCCTAAATGCCTAAATCAGATGGTATATACAGTGTGCTACAGTAAGCTTAATACTTGCTTAACTTTTTATTGAATAAGTTATTAGTTAATTACGATGTGAAGCCAGACAAAGTATATATATACTTTATAGTAAAGTATATAGAGTAGTAGAATATCATACAGCCATTCTTTGATGCTTTCTCTTAGCTTTAAAAACTGTTTATGTAGGGCTGGGCATGGCTCACACCTGTAACCCCAGCACTTTGGAAGGCCAAGGTGGGCGGATCACAAGGTCAGGAGATCGAGACCATCCTGGCCAACATGGTAAAACCCAGGCTTTACTAAAAATACAAAAAGTACCTGGTGTGGTGGTGTATGCCTATAATCCCAGCTACTCGGGAGGCTGAGGCAGGAGAATTGCTTGAACCAGGGAGTTGGAGGTTGCAATGAGCCGAGATCTCGCCACTGTGCTCCACGAGATCTTACCACTGCACTCCACCCTGGTGACAGAGTGAGACTCGGTCTCAAAAATAAAAAAAAAAACTATATAGTGAGCAGACCAGTTTCAAGACCTGTTCCTCAGGGTCAAAGTTGAGAGTTTCTGCCACTGGACCCCTGCTTGACTTCAGCCTGGTCCCCCGCTTCTGCTGGTATTACAACACCTGCTTTTTTCTCCTTTTTAATTTTTTTGAGACGGAGCATCGCTCTGTCACCCAGGCTGGAGTACAGTGGTGCAGTCTCGGCTCACTGCAAACTTCGCCTCCCAGGTTCAAGTGATTCTCCTGCCTCAGCCTCCTAAGTAGCTAGGATTACAGGCACACGCCACCATACCTGGCTAATTTTTGTATTTTTATTAGANAGACGGGGTTTCACCATGTTGACCAGGATGGTCTTGATCTCTTGACCTCGTGATCCACCCGCCTCGGCCTCCCAAAGTGCTGGGATTACAGGCTTGAGCCACCGCGCCCGGCCCTAATTTTATATTTTTAGTAGAGATGGGGTTTCACCATGTTGGCCACGCTTGTCTCAAACTCCTGACCTCAGGTGATCTGCCCGCCCCAGCCTCCCAAAGTGCTGGGATTACAGGCGTGAGCCACTGTACCCGGCTGGATGTTGAGATTTTTAAAACTCCCGGATGATTCTAACGTGCAGGTGAATTTGGGAACTATTCCTCAAATATTTTTGAGGGGGCTCCTTGCCCCTGAGTTCAAAACACTTAACATTTGCAGGTTTTTACTATTTGTTTTAAGAAAGCCAAAGAGTTGACTTTTTTTTTGTTGTTGTTGATAGCCAAGAAATATTTTTCTTCATGGCCCTGATCAGCAAGTAAAAATAGGAGACTTTGGTCTGGCCTGCACAGACATCCTACAGAAGAACACAGACTGGACCAGTAGGAATGGGAAGAGTAAGATTTTGTTTTGTTTTGTTTTGTTTGCATAAGCAAAATACATGGTTGCACATGTTAGTATTTAAAGAGAATCATAAAGATTTAATAGCAAAGGTAAGATAAAAAGCAACCTTGTTCCCCGAGGTGCTGCACTGCTTGCTCATAGTAAATGTTCTTTAATGTTGATAGTGCTAACACTGCAATGTTTAATATGTGGCTTTTGAAATGATAGGAACACCAACGCATACGTCCAGAGTGGGTACTTGTCTGTACGCTTCACCCGAACAGTTGGAAGGATCTGAGTATGATGCCAAGGTAGCATTTGTTGCTTTCTGCCCTTTCATTCAACTTACTCTTCAGTGGTAAATAACAAACAGTACAAGTCTAGGCGCGGTGGCTCATGCCTATAATCCCAGTACTTTGGGAGGCCAAGGTGGGTGGACACTTGAAGTCAGGTGTTCAAGACCAGCCTGGCCAACATGGTAAAGCCCATCTCTACTAAGAATACAAAAATTAGCTGGGCATGGTGGCGCACACCTGTAGTCCCAGCTACTCTGGAGACTGAGGCACAAGAATCGTTTGAATCTAGGAGGCGGAGGTTGCAGTGAGCTGAGATCGTACCATTCCGTTTGAGCCTGGATGACAAGAGCAAAACTCCATCTCAAAAAAAAAGGAGAAAAAAAAAAAAACCCCAGTACAATGAAATGTAGAAGTTCTATCATAGAGATGTTTTTGGAGATAACTGAGTACTGTAGATTATTAACTGGATCAAACTGCCCTAAGAAGAAGCCTCACTTTTCAGTGGAATCTGTGTTGCCTTCTTTACCATTGCAAAATCCACGGGTGTCACAAACTTTTTTGTTTGTTCATTTGTTGTTTTTGAGACAAGGTCTTGCTCTGTTGCCCAGGCTGGATTGCAGTGGTGTCATCATAGCTTATGGTAGCCTCCAACTCCTGGGCTCAAATGATTCTGCCACCTCAGCCTCCCATGTAGCTGGGACTACAAGAGTTGTGCCACCACACCCAGCTAATTAAAAAAAAAATTTGTTTATTTATAGAGATGGGGTCTTACTTTGTCCAGGTTGGTCTCAAACGTCTGGCCTCATGTGATTCTCCTCCCTTGACCTCCCAAAATGCTGGGATTACAGGCATGAACCACTGCGCTTGGCCTAAATTGTTTCTGAAATGAGCTTTCCCTTTAAAACACCACTGTTCACCTCAGTAAGCTAGAATTCATGGAAGTCTATTTTCAGCCTTTTCTTCTTCTTATTTTTTTTTCAAGCTGTAGTAAATAAATGCCACAGGGAAGCCTGCCCCTTGACTCCCCTTGAAATAGAATGAAGATGCTGTAAAGTCTGAATCACCATTGTTCCTTGAAGAAATGCTAAAATCCATTTTTCTTTTCTTTTCTTTCTTATTTGAAATGGAGTTTTGCTTTGTCACCCAGGCTGGAGTACGGTCGCGTGATCTCAGCTCACTGCAGCCTCCACCTCCTGGGCTCATGCAGTTCTCCTGCCTCAGCCTCCCGAGCAGCTGGGATTACAGGCATGCGCCACCACACCCAGCTAATTTTTGTATTTTTAGTAGAGACAGGGTTCGACCATGTTGGCCAGGCTGGTCTCGAACTCCTGACCTCAAGTGATCCACCCACCTCAGGCTCCCAGAGTGCTGGGATTACAGGTGTGAGCCAGCACGCCTAGACTAAAATCCATTTTTCAAATGGATTTTCTTCCTTTTGTTGGCTCATCGAGCTTTTTAGTGATTGAGAAAGAGCTGTCGGAAAAAATGATGACTGCCCCTAAAATCTTGTCTAGCAAAGACCTTCGTAAAAAATCTGTTTTTAGGAGTAGTAGCGCAGATTTTTATACAGTTAAGTGTCACCGAGAACACGTGGTAAGTACGACTGGAGGCAGAGGTGAGACCAGAGGAGAACCTGCGACCCTCTTTGGCTCTCCCAGAGCTGGCACTAGCAGGCGTGAGCTCACGTCACTCTGCTTGGGTCAGACCTGGATTGTTAAGGGGTGCTGAAGAGAATTGTATGGTTGTGACTGCTATGGGTGGGGGAATTATTCCTGGCCTCCACCTGACCATTCATTCTGCATACCCACGGATGCCCCTTTTTGGGGTTGTGAAAGTCCCTGTCACTGATGAGCCATCCTGCTCTGCTCCTTCTTGTGGGTGACTATATATCCTCATTCTGAGAAACCCT